TATACAAATTAAATCAGAAATAAGGAATACGAACAAATAAAAGATAATAATGAACACCAAACATTTGTAATTCTCAGATTCTCAACTGTATACCTGCTTTTGCACCTCCCCCTGTATATGTACAAAACTGCATTTTTAATTATTGACTTGTCACCAATGAATTTTTTAAAATTTACTGGTGACAAGCAATAATTTAAAAAACCTCTAAAAACATGAAAAACCAGTTTAAAACTGTTTTTTCATATTTTTACAGAGGCGTAGCCTCAAATAAAAAGTCGTCTCTGCAATTGAAGACTGTCGTTTCTGGTGATTGAACACGACCAAAAGACATTTTAGTTTCATCAATGTATTTTATTATTAATAAGAAAATAATTTTGAAAAATTTATTAAAAATTAAAAATGCTAATCGTGTATTTAAAATCATATCGTTACACCATTTATTTTATATTTTCTGTTAGTTGTACTTAAAGTCTACGTGACATACTGAATTTTGGGGAGTAACGAAGGGCATTCCCACCCAGAACTCTAGGTTATAGGCGAAAAAAGTACATTTTAAATTCAATATGTTAGACTATTGTAATTTAAAATCATTAATTAGAAGTATTTATAATTTTAATAAAAACAAACAAAAAAAAAATTAAACATTGTCCCTATGAAAAAATATAAGTAATGCTGTAGTTACAAAAGCGTTTAAAATTTAATTTAAATTTCTGTCCTCAAATTTCATCTACTTCTAATTACGATAGAAGGCTGAAACTTTGAGGACATATCTAGGTCCGATGACGATGTATTTTAATGATGTTTTAGGGGTGACCCACCATCCTCCTCCTCCCGAAATCTGATAAACATACACACCATAATTAAATCCTACACGTGGTTAAGTGTGTAAATGCATGTATATGGTAGGGGTGAGCATTCCTACATACCAATAAAAACATTTTTAAAATGTATTTAAATTATTATTCTTAATATTTACAATTCTCTTTAATCATTATTTATTTATGATTTTTAAATTTTACAAAACATATTTTCATTACGTAATCGCGTTCGATAATATTAGTGGAATGCTAATTAATAGCAATATTTTATTAAATGTAAGAAATTTAAATTAATTTAACGTTACGACCGAAAAACATATTAGCAGAAAATGAAAGGATAATTAGAGAGCGAATTTCTTTTTAATTGAAAAAAATAAATGATAATTACTGTACTGTACTTTATTTTTTTAAATTTCATTAAATTCTGAAAGTAATCGCTAGATGGCAGCAAAGTAGGCCTTTTTAATGATAGTTAGCTTCCGGTAGTTTGGCCAATAAGGACGGAGCTTATATCGATTTTCGCTCACGTGATTAAAGAGCATGGAGATTGTCGGATGCTGAATCGGATGCAGGTTTTAGCATATTTTAAAGAGGGAATAATAAGCTATAAAATGCCCGTTTTAAGTGAATATTTTTATAATATATTCAATCGCAATAAGCTAAATAAACACGCAAATTTTCACTTAAAAAAAAAAAACCGATAAACAGCAAATACACGTTAGATATTCGTGATCGATAATTGTAAATAATGCTTATTTATTTATTTTAAAAAGGGTTAATCTCATGTTTGTATAAATATTTATCAAGTTTACTCGTCGGGATATTCTTTTATATAGACAAAAATCGTTCTGAAACGAATGACAGGACATTATTATTCTTCGACACTAATTAAACTATTGCTCCTGTAATGTAAGCTTTCTGCATAATTACTACGCTTTAAGGAAAAGCTAAACTTGGCTATTTTTAATGTAATTTTATCGGGTAATAAGCTTAGATGAAAATAAGAAAGAGGAAGATGAAAAAAACGTAATGAACACATTATTAATTTTTACACTCTTCTTCAATTATCGTACGCATAAATAAGAAATTTAATTATAAAAAGCCTTATACTAAGTTATTAAAACTCTATATAAAGTTAAAAAGGTTATATGCGATGTACAATGTTTTTCTTTATAAATATTAATTAATATACATCGGTCGGAAAATTCTATCTTAATTTTCGGTTTTTAATTAATAATCTACGTTTTAAAATTAAAATTCCATTTAATTTTTATAGTTTTTATCGCAGAAAACTCGCTAACGTAATTAGTCCATTAGGAGAATTATTGTCACGCATTAAAACCAATTCCGTAAAAAGAAAGTGCAAATAATTTTAATTTGTAATCCTTAACATCGCAAAAGAATAATTTATTATANTTGAAGGCCTTTTCCAACTCTTCCAATTGATAACTAGTAAATATTGTTCTGAAAACAGAGCGAAAAATCCTATTTTAGTAAATGTCGAGCGGGAAAATGTCAATCTAATCAATTCATTGACACAAGACAGTCGCCGTGTTGACAATTTTGTCAAATCCTGACGAGAGAGAGCGATTTGTTGACTCAAACACTCAAGAACTAATTTCGGAGTCGGAACCGAAATTTTTAATGTTTTTTAAGTTGGAATTTTTGTTGCCGTGTTGCTTATCAAATCGAATTAAGAATTTCACAACGAATTATTTTCGAAATAATTGTAAAAATAAGTTAACTCTTGCTTGATGCTTTCAGTTCATGAATTAAATCAATATATATATATATAATTTTTAATCTATCTACTAACCATCGAGTAAGTATACTTTAGCATAGCTAAAAATTACCTTAGCGATCAGTGGCGTAGCTAACAAGTAAGATTTTGTTCTGGAGTTATCTGGGAGGATACTACAATATTCTTATTTGATGTTATATAAATGCATATTGTTAAGAAACAGACGATTAAAAACAAAAAATCTTTAAAACTAAGTTTTAAGTATATTTAAACCGTTTTATTTTACAACACAATTCATATTTAGATTTATTTAGAGAAACTCTAACGATTTGATGACAATTTTTTTTTTTTTTTCGGAAAAGCTATATTTCTTTAAAATTTTTAGTGCAGAGTTTTTCTGCCTGTTCACACGATTAACTGTTCGTGTGCTAACAGAAAAATTCTAGTCGAATTAATCTGAATAACGAATAATTTATTAGAAACGAAATGGTTGTTCTCGTATTAGAACGTATCGAAAAATAACGTGTTCAATCCGTTAAGATCCCAAATAACGCACAATATCTAGCCGATGGGGCATCCCCTTTTACAAATTAATAGGGAAAGAGTACAATGAATCTCCGGGGAAACTGTCCAACCCCCTAGTTCGACCCTAGGGGGTCACATCCCAACGATTAAAGGGTCGATTAAACGCATTCTACAAGTCTTTCACGCTTCTTTCCACGGGAGTTTTTTGTGTCCATTCAGCTAGTCTCTTGTGTCCTGACCCCCGATGGTCATCATTGTTGTTAGGTGCGGGGTGGTTTTAAAAAGGTTTTGTTCGCTACAGACTCTGTTTACTAAGCATGTCAACACGTGATGTCCATCAATCCAAAGACGGCCTTCCAGGTAGGGGGCCTTGTTGCCATCTCAAAGAGCACTCGAGTCTAGAGGAAGGAATTCTTTTGCTCGATTGTTATTCTCGGTTTTGGCACTTAGCGAAGACGTCGAAAATCGGAATTACTAATACTTTGCCATAACGGTTTAATCACTTTAACTCTATTCGTTTTTCGTCGCCAATATCGAATTTTTATCTTCTCGTTCGATAATTACTGATCATTTTAAGCCTTTCTCTATTATATTTAAACGGGTTTTTAAACCGAACAAAGGTTAAAATGACAGCCTTACCATTTCGCTATTCATTCCGCTCGCCAAAAGAGAAATTTTGTCAAAAGACTTCTGTAACGTCCCATCTGTCAAACTCGTCCGCTTTTTGTTGACCTTTTCCTTGAAAATTACCTTTCATTACTCCCAGAGCGAAGAGGAAGAAGGAATTAGATAACAGACCACGTGACACCCGCTCTTGTTGTCTTATTACACGTCACAGTTTAATACAATCGATCTCTTGGATAAAATCTTCAGACCAGATTTATAAGGACTTCTTTTATTATAACAGATAACATTCATACAATACTTATGCTTTTAAAAACTAAAATACATTCTAGAATACCCACAATTCCAAGATGGAAGACATGTTTCTGGTGTGTTCCGCCTATTAAAACACCATACCATGGTTTAAAGTAATTTTTTTAAACTAATAATTAGACGATTAATTTTCGATTTTTTTCGTGTTTTATTATTTTTTAGGTAGTTTATTCAATTGTGAAATAAATAGAAAACTAAATTTACTTTGAATTTATAAATAAATATGTTTTTTTACGTTCCTTTTTCTTTTAAAAGAGATTTATAAAAACACTTTTTTTATACTGTTTTAAACAGAACTTTTTTCCTTTCTTAACCTTCCTAATTTATGTACGTGTCGTAGTTTAAAACATAAATTTTGAGCAACAGAATTACCCGTCCCGACTGAATATATTGTACACTTTTTTTTTATAAAGATAAACCTAGAAAAACGAAGATGGAACATTTGCCACTCCGTTTCCTTCGGCTTTGCTTCTTCTCTGAGCGAAACAATCGCTTGAATGATCGGAATTTTGAGCGCTCTCAGCTCCCGTCTGTTGCAACTTATCCTCCCTTTCCGTAGTCGAATCAGCTTCTTTTAATTTTTCCGCCGCTTCCAACGATTTGCGATGCATTCCTGAAAGTATCGATCGAATTATCCAAATCAGTAGACCTACAACAACTAATAACATATATATTTTTTAAATATGTATACATTGTCTTTAGGTTGACAGATCTAATCGATAAGCGTTAAAAACACACCTTTCTCCAGTTTTAAGTGTTTTTTTTTACAATTGTCACAATAAAAGAAAACGACTAACGAAACTATAGTACAATAGAGCGAACGGGATACGCTAGATTCCATATTTTTCTGCTGTGTTGTAATTAGAAAACTCGAGATGTACCTAGTAACCAAGGTGCGCAAGAAGTGGAATTCCCATCCTTGTTCTTCAGTATAGTCTCTGGTAGTGGTAACGAATGTCGTACCATGGCACCGTAGAGACCGTATTCGGCCATGATCGTGCTCTTGCCCCAACATTTTTCCGTCTTCCTCCATTTTGCTCTTCTGTTTTGAAACCACACCTGCAAAGACGTGACGATAATTAATTGAGTTTTCCGAAATTAAGCAAAGCGCCTTATTTCAATAACGCGCCAATTCTATATCCGGCTCGAACAATGGCCAGTTTATAATTTTATCGAATAATCTTTAGTGAAATTCGATAACTCCGTTTCGCTCAGTTATATAACAAATAGATAAGAGACGTAAGTTGTTATTATTATTATTATTATTTAAACAAACATATAAACCTGTATTCTGTCTTCGGGCAAATCTGTTTTCAGAGATAACATTTCTCGAGCGTACACGTCCGGATAATGAGCTTCCTTGAAGGCCTTTTCCAACTCTTCCAATTGATAACTAGTAAATATTGTTCTGAAAACAGAGCGAAAAATCCTATTTTAGTAAATGTCGAGCGGGAAAATGTCAATCTAATCAATTCATTGACACAAGACAGTCGCCGTGTTGACAATTTTGTCAAATCCTGACGAGAGAGAGCGATTTGTTGACTCAAACACTCAAGAACTAATTTCGGAGTCGGAACCGAAATTTTTAATGTTTTTTAAGTTGGAATTTTTGTTGCCGTGTTGCTTATCAAATCGAATTAAGAATTTCACAACGAATTATTTTCGAAATAATTGTAAAAATAAGTTAACTCTTGCTTGATGCTTTCAGTTCATGAATTAAATCAATATATATATATATAATTTTTAATCTATCTACTAACCATCGAGTAAGTATACTTTAGCATAGCTAAAAATTACCTTAGCGATCAGTGGCGTAGCTAACAAGTAAGATTTTGTTCTGGAGTTATCTGGGAGGATGAAGTAAAAAGTATACTCATAATGAAGAAAAATTAAGCGTACCATAAAGTACCGTTTATTTATAAACAATATCCATTGCAATTCTAATACAACTTACAGTAGGAATTCAAATGTTCTAGATTTTTTTTCAGTTTAAGTTTTATTCATAAAGCCTCTGAGGGAACCTTATCCACATCACTCTCGTAATTGTTAGCGATTGTTAAAAAATCTACATTTTGATCAATATAATACTATAGACTTGCCATCGAACCTACGTAATATCCCACGTTGTAAGGCGGAATTTACTTTTAAAACAGATAAATCTTTAACATCAAAGCTTTGGTAACAGTGATGGTTTTAATCTGTTAGGATTGCTTGTTTGTAAAATATGTAGCCTTATATTTTTCAATACAACTTAAAAAACTGAATGCTTAGAATACACTTGCCTGTGCCTTCTCTTCTTCTTCTTCTTAGTCACATTTTGCTCCTCGGCCGAGTAAGATTTATTGTTAAAATCGGAGAGAAGCCCTAAATCAATACATAACAAAGCATAACTAAGTTGGAATAATACGGAATAAGTAAATGATAAAATTTATTATAATTTATAAAGGAAATTAATTGCGACTAAAAATGAAAATTATCTAACGCGTAAAGTAATTTACATGAAAAGAGTATAATGAAGCATTAATGCCTTATTAAACCCGGTCAGTTAATCCTTTTACGTTAAAATTACTCGACAAGTAAAAATCCCGTTAATTTTCCCGAAACAAAAGTAAAAAGAATTTAATGGTTAATCTATATTAAACAAAAGCTAGAAGGGAGAACGGAGACGGAGGTATTAGACTAACTCTCCCTCTAACGTGAAGTATGTAAAATCCTCTAAAAACCTCCGTTCGTGATTAACTATCTTCTTAATCTGTACGGGCTACTTGACAGAACGCGCTTGCGCTTTACACGGCAGATGGCTCCTCCCGACATGGGAAAAACACCAAATCTGTTTGGCGATTCAACCATGTGTAAAATGACTTACATTTTAATTCGGCTGCTTAAAGGCTTAAGGAGGTAGTCAATCCGGAATTCAATTACTTGGGTGAAAGGCGATCAATACTATTTTCCAGGCCAAAGGTAGGATGCGCTAAGCAGAGTTTTGCCTGATTCTCTCTCTTCTCTCCATCTCTGTCTATCCGACGTATACTAGTCTAGTAGTATGTTTTGGGAGGGCCAAGAAATTGTTTGTTTTTTTTTACCCCCACAGAAATATGAGTCCGGAGTTTAGTTGTTGTCAAATCAGCTTTGAAGGAAATTTTCTGTGTGCGCGTTAGCAAACTCGTGATGGTGTCATGTGACGTGGGATAATTAAAAGTTTTTCGCAGATAATTCAACTCCATCTTCCCTGTCATAAGACGATGTTACGCTAGACGCCTCTTCGCTTCTCAAATTTGTGATTAAAAGTAAATCCAAGAGAAAGTTTTGCATGCACTTTTAAAGACTGCCAAGTAATATGATGACGTCGAGAAATTTAATTCTTTCTTATCTTGCTGATAAAGTTTATTTTAATTTGTTGAATTTTTATTTATATATTTTTCTTACGAAGCGAGAGAGTTTTAAAATTACTATTATTGTTGTTATTACTTTTTTCCCCAACGATGGAAAATATATATATAAACTTATAGAATTTTATAAAGATACTCGCTATTGACTGGCATTTTTTTTTAAAGCTGCGGAATTCGAATAACCTTGACTACCCAGAGAGATGATCAATCCCACCCTATGTCAACACTTGGCCCAGTGTGACCTTTGATCCCGACCACAGGTGTGACAAGATAATGTTGACAATAACGTAACTCTTGACACGAAGAGCATAGTTACATCACCTCGATTGCCAATCACTCTTCGGTATCTTCGAACAATTGTTTGTTACATTTCTCGAAAAAAAAAATTAAAAAATAAAGTAATACTAACGCGTGGTCCCTTAATAATGGTTTAACTTGAATAAATGATGAAGAGAAACTTATTGAAATAATAAATTTGTTTATAGTGAATAAGTTAGATTACAAAAATTATAATGAAAATTAATGCATATTATTTTATTATTATAGAATCTAAAAAGTAGTAGTAATAAAACTAGACTAATAAAGATCTTATTCCTAAATTTAAAAAAAAATTATAATTTAACTTCTTACATGTTTAGATATAATTTTACTTTAAAATATTGTATGCTACAATTTTTTAATTGCCATTAAATAAACTATAAAACACGAAAATTAAGCCAAATTTATTGAGAATATTTTAACCAGTACTATAATTTTCTATATAAAATTAATACATCACGACAAAATAACAGATATTCTAATATATGTAGTCTACTGTATTAGAAACTATAAAATCTTACATTAAATTCTTTTTAAGTAATTAGGAAAGTAAGATTGAAAGAAAGTCTTCATATTTTATCAGTTTAATAACAACTTCTACATTATTATTATTTTTAACAACCAATAGACAACATTAGCTGTAGGCCGTAATTATCTGTAAACACGAAATATTTCCATACGTAAAAATGATAAAAACTATATAACGAAGTTTCTATCGAAAGCATTAGGCCAATGTCACAACAAGCTGCAGGAGGATTATTCGCTCTTCACGTTCAGAATCAATCTCGGGCCCGCTTTCCACTTACCTAACTGGTTTAGTTATGACTAATGCAAACATTGTAGAAAATCCCGAAGGATGTAGAAGCCTGGAACGAGTACACTCGGCCTTTAAGCTTCTTTCTAACTTTAAAAATCAAACTTGGCCCCAAGAATGTCTCTAGATTAGTTCAATGATCGATTATTAACTAACTCGAACACTCGGATAGTATTTGTCGTAATATCCTAAAAAGGAAAAAAAAATCGACTCTGTTCTCGGAATTCTGATTTTATCTGGCGTTAAAAAACGGGAAATTATTTAATAATAATAAAACAATTCGTTAATGGTGATTCGTGCATTGCGATATTTAGGCTTAATTAACAATAGAAGAATACACTAATCGGGAGAATAAATATGGTAATAATATAAATTTAATCATTGTTATATTAATTAGAAATGGCATTATATTAATCCTTTTGAAAGTCTTCCATAAGTCTCTTCTATGTTTAGATATTAATTTTTAAGTCTTTTAAGTGTAGTCTTACATCAATTTTGACAAAATGTATAAAAAAAATTATGGATAAAATGTTAATTTTTCGATTAAATAATTAATTTACAAGTTGAAACAATGCATTTGAATTATAAAAAATTAATAAGTTTATTAGTTTAGACATTTGTAAAATTTAAATTAATTTAACGTTACGACCGAAAAACATATTAGCAGAAAATGAAAGGATAATTAGAGAGCGAATTTCTTTTTAATTGAAAAAAATAAANTTTTTCTGTACTATATTAAAAACTAAAATTTATTTGTTTGTAAGCTTAAAATAGATTTTTATTAACCATATATTATTAAAAATGCATTAATAAATAAAATACAGAACCAGGAATGGTAATTTATGGTTTAGCCTAGTGACAAGTAGATTCGGAGACAAGTAAATTCGACTTACGTCGTTTTTCGACTTACGTCGTTCTCCTGGAACCAATTACTGACGTAAGGCGAGGTATACCTGTACATTTGAATTATAAAAAATTACTTGTATTTTATTGTTCAACATCATAACAGAAAATATGTATAAATATGTTATATCTATATTTAAATTTGAATTAAGTAGATCTTCGACTTACGTCGTTCTCCTGGAACCAATTACTGACGTAAGGCGAGGTATACCTGTGCATTTGAATTATAAAAAATTAATAAGTTTATTAGTTTAGACATTTGTAAAATTTAAATTAATTTTTCCTGTTATTTGTTAAGTCTGTAAAGTGCCGACGAATTAATTTTTGTCTATTGTTAAAAATTCCGCTCGTAAACAATTTCTTATAGGTTTTACTTCGAAAAATTTCATAGCAAATTACAAAATCAGGCAATATTTATGTAATGTGTTGAATCTGAACGTATTTATTTATGCTAATCTAAAAAAAAGTTATTTTTAGAAATTCGATCCATTTAGTAAAGAATCATTATCATAATTTTACAATAATCTAAAGGGGTTTTTCCATCAAAATATTTTATAGTAATTAGTTTTCGGCTGTTTAAACTTACCCGAGTAATGTAGGTCCTGCGAATACGAATAATCGTCTTGTAATCTTTCCGCAGCCCAATCATAATCTATAAAAATAAACATAAACCAAACCAAAAATAATGAAAGTAAAATAAAATAAAAATATATGCAAAATTAAAAAAAAATTCTAATGCTGGTGATTTTAATGGAGTATTTCATAACTTAAAATTTTTTGTAATTAGATCACGAAGTAATTATTACGTTCTACTGTTGAAATAAATGATTAAAAACAAGCGTAAAATAGATCTAAATCTTAGAAAATAAAAAAAAAATAAATTTTAATTGTTACAGATATTTACTAATATCTCTGATATAAACAGTGCTAAGTCTAAGCTTCTTAACTGAAGTTTTAACAGTAGAACGTAGAACCTAAAACATGGAGTAAGTTTCTCAAAATTTAATAAGTTTGTTTTATTAGCTTATTTTTTAATGGAATTCTTTCTGTCAATAATAATTTAATAGAAAAGCCTTACTGTTTGATTTCAATTGTTTTAAATCCACTTCTTATTTGTTATTAGCAATAAATATATGTCGACTCTTCTTGATCTGTTTATAATGATAATCTCCAAAGAAAAACAGTTAGGCCAACATTTTTCTTTTACAAGATTCTATGGAAATTAAGAAAAAATAGGCTTTTTTCAAACATAAACAGGATCCTTATTTTTAAATTAAAGGAGCATAATTTTTAAAATTATGCTAAAGTTTTATGACTATAAATTCGCTGTTTTTAAGTTTTAGCGGCTGGTCATCCTTTTCCCCGTGTAGATAACCTAGGCAAAATAATTCTCTGAATATTTTTTTAAATGATTATTTCACTTTAATTCAAATGAATTCAGAGAAAATAGACCAAACCTTTAAGTTTAGAGGATGAAATTACATAGAAAACACAAATCTAAAAATTCGTGAAATGAAAATTTTATACAGTACACATTTCAATTTAATATAATTTAGAAGCTCTTCCCTCTCGTTAGAAAATCAAATTATAAACTTAATTACATATTAAAAAGAGAATAATCAAATGAATTAATTTAAACGTAACTTCAATAATTAATTGATTATTAAATCTGTTTCATATTTAAGACATTGACGGAAAATTTCGCGAGAAACACGTATAAATCAAGTCTTGGGTAAAGCTAATGCGAATAAAATAGATGTTAGATTATTTACACGAGATTAAATCATGTTTATGTAGAGAAATATCGAATAAATTTCAAAAAAATCTTATCCGCAGAAGGCAATTTATTCGACTATAAAGAAACGTAAGAGGTGCGGATTCTTATAACAGCATATTATTGTCATCCATCTATCTAAACGAGATTATAGCAACCAACTTGGAAATATTTTTCGGCAAACGTCTTAAGAGTTGTCCAAATCATTTTTTGAGCGATTTAACTTCAAGAGAAAATATATTTTTTTCTTCTTCTTCATCTTTAATCTCAATCTTTTCCGATTTAAATCTGAGGATTTTTTTCTTTCTTTCTTCGATTCTTTCACTATCCTATCTCTAACAATATCCTACTAACAACAGAGAATAATAATTTAAACATGTATTTTTCATTACTATAATTAATTGTAGTTTCGAGTTAGCCTGTAGAATTGGCCTTCCTAATTTTTAAAGGTCGAGTTGGGCCCGAATTAAAATGTCCCATCTGATCCTACAATTAATAATCTATTTAAATCGTTTAAATTCGGAGAAAGTTTTTCTTTTTTAAAAAAAGTGCTTTATTTTATTACGGAAACGAATAATTTAAAATTTACTCTAAAAATTTATAATGGTTTTATAGTGTTTGTAGGTTCGGGTTTAAGTCAACGACGACTAATGATTATACGTAACGACAAATTTTTATTAGATTAAATCGTGTAAATTTAATTATTCATAATTAGAGACTAATTCGACAGGAACGTCTGGAATACAGTAAAAGCACAGAGGAGGAGGTCCATAACAAAACATTATACCGTGTTTTCCATTTTTAGGAACACATTTATTTATTTATTGGATCGTGTCATTTTCGCTAAAATCTATGGAAACGTATACCCAGATCTCACCAAAATTTAGCGTGTAGTACACTAATTCATAAGAATATAGTACTACACATTATAAAATTCAGTGTATCAGTTTAGCTTTTCCCGAAAAAATGGTTTATGGTGGAAATGCACATTTTTTTTTTCCTTTTTTGGTCTGAATCTCCTCGGTTTGTATTAAACTATTGATAGATAATTTTGTGTCTTTATAGTCTCGAAATTTTCGGGAGAAAATGTACACCCGAAAGTAATCGTTCTGTGTTGTTATTTTCTGTATTTCTCTCTAATCTCGAGATTTAACTTTTTAAAAAATATAGGCTATATATATAAACGTGTTGGATTACTTTAAATATGCTAAATTTTTTGGTAGTTTTTCGGGTCTTTTTTACCGATTTTACCACCGATCAATTTATCGTTTGCGGATGAGATTTTTGACTTTCTTACCTGTCCTAGCGTCCGTCTGATGTATGGCCGGACTGGACTGGTCGAAACCAAAGACGGAGGGTGTTAAGGCAGTTAGTCCGGACACGAAAGTAGTCGGTGGACTGAAGTACACTCTTCCAGAATCGGCGTAACAGTGTCCGTCGGCCGTGCTTCTTCCTTGATAACTCTGACTGGTGGCGGGCAGATAAGGAGTCATGGGTAGACAAAGAGAAGAACAACCACCCGTCGACTGTCTGTTGGAGTTCGATTTGGGATCCACCGGAGTCGAACCCAATCCTAACAGTTCCTGAATAGCGAAAGGAGATCGCTGGGTTTGAATGGTTCCATCACACGACGCGCTTCCTTGAGAGATTCGGTTACCGTTAAGCAGATTCATAACTGAAACCATATTTTTTTTAGTCTTTTTTTTACGGGACTTAATTGCTTTTAATGTATAATAATCATGAGTTGTTTATTTTACGTCACTCGCCAGAGGCTCTTCCTTAATTTAACAGTCAAAACTCGAGATTTTTCTTATCGCCACCGAGCGCTGCTCCTTTCCCCTTCTGGACACGCCTTTTCCCGATGATGTCACCGATCGCACCAATCGGAAGATGTTTTACGCGATACGCAACTTACTTCTCCTGCTCTTCTACTCGATAAAGATCATCTTACTTCTCTGACGGGAACGAAACGATTTACAATCGGAAATTGACTGCTCTCTATTTAAATTCCTATCATTTATATATAATAATAATACCCACACCTCGGTCTTCCCGTCACGCCTAAAGGGCGTGGCTACATAAATTTGCCTCTACGATTGGCCGATTTTTCTCGGACTTCGACCAATCGCCACGCAAATATATATATAGATATATATATTTTTTGTTTATCGTCGTAATTCGTTACTGGCGTGCGTACGTTTTCCGTGTGTCTGGTGTCTGTCTTTATTAATAAAAAAAAAAAAATTAAAAAGTAATAAAATTTTAAAGTCGCAAAATAAAATTTGATCCGCTTTTAAAGGAAAATTAAAATAAAATAATAATCCTGCCTTAAACTATATGCTTATTTTTTCTGGATTTAAAAAAAAATTATTTTGAATGATTTTATTTATAACAAAAATAAGTATATAATGATTTGGAATGGTATTGTCTTTAATTATATAGTGAAAGTTGAATAATTTTAATTAATTGTCGAGTAATTTTTACGTATATTTGTTCATTATCATGCATAAATATTGTAGTTTAATATTAATATAATACTACAAAAGTATATAATTTTTACTGCATTCAAATGTAATTAGAAGTGAAAATTTTAAACACAATTAATTATACCAAAGATTTTTATTGGTCTATTCAAAATTTTTTTTTTGTTACGTATGCGCTTTTGTACTTTTATGAATTATTAGAACTTTAATGGAAAAACTGTATACGAGACGAAATTTTACCGGCGCGTACAGCGTTAGAAAGCGGCAAATTAACTTCATCTATGCGTCACAACGGAACGTGACCTTCCATATCTCGCGCTCCTAATTGACTCGATCGCTCGTTAGCCAAAAGCGCCACCTGCCTGAGGTGGCCACGTGCGACATTAACAATTATTCCGGATAAAATGGCGATTTTCTCTTTTCCGTCCCAATTACTCGTTAACTTCTGTCTTTAATTGCGGTGCGTGATATTTCGAAGCTTAATGTGACACATCGGCACATTCTCTGACCAGTTACTTGTTAATTAATCGGATACTGGGAGCGAAAACGGGACGTTGTTAAAAATTACACAAAATTGCTTTGGGCTTGTGCCGGTTCTGTTATTTGTAAAATGTGTAGTCGAGTTGGCTAATGTTATACCCGTAAAAGTGGCTTAACGAATCGTATAAGTTTTTAATATGGGTGGAAAATATTTTACTAGAAAGTCGGATGTATTTACAAGCTTTCTATTGTCTTCCAAATATATCGATTACAATAAAACGTTTTTTAATAATAAAGTTTCTAAACATCGTTTGAACTTTGTTTTTTCATAGATTATCAATATTTTCAGTGGCATATTATCCTTTGGGCAAAAGGGGCAATTGCCTGGGGCCCCAAACCAATCTTTTATAAGAAAATATTCCCCCCCAAAAATTATGAAGTCAACACTGTACAGTACCACTGAATATTTTAATAATGATTATTCTGTATGAAATTTATGGCTAAAATCATTATAATAATCAGAGAAGCTTAGTAATGCAAGTATACTTTTATAGCTTTTATTAAATTTAACAATACATTTTTTTTTAAAACTTATTTACAGTTGTTTTTATTTTTTAAAAATTAAATCAGAAAAATTCATTATAGCATACTTGATGATATAAAATGAAGAAGTTAGGATGAATGATAGCATAATGAGAACTTGTTAAAGATATAAATTTTCTTACTTTAATTTCTATCCTATTAGATAAGTAAAATTGGGGACACAGTTTTTACTTTGTTATCCAACTTTGAAACTCATTTCTTGTAAAATTACAATATTCTGCAATTAAAATAATGAATGAGATCAAAATTAAATGAGGTTACTCACAGGTATCTGAACATAATTACTTTGCAAAATCTAAAAAAAAAGTAAGCAATAAATTTCATTGATTAATGGAATTTCAATAATTAAAAACACTCATTTCATTCAATTAAATGACAAACATTCCTAATGAGATAAGATACCAATAAATGTATTTATTAGTATTTAGAAAAGTCAATTTTATAAAATTACATTAAAATTATTTTTACAAATTTTGAGCTTTGAATTTAATATTTTAAAGAAATTTTATAAATAAATGATTTATTGTATAAAAGATAATTAAAATTATTTTATTTGATTACATTTCCAGTTTATTAAGATCAATTTTTCATCAGTTTACATTGAAAATTTATAAATGTTTATAAAATGGCATTTTATTTATGTTTTGTTAATATTGTAAACTTTATTATTTATATTAAAATGCTATTCTGCCATTTTGTGGGTTTTATAGAATAATTTGGACTAGAATATATATTTTTGTTTTCAATTAACATCTAGTTTATCACTTACATTACACTCCAATAGAATGTACTCAGTATATGAACATTATATATTAAATACTTGAACTATATTTACTTGCAGATTAAATTCTTTCCTATATCATTTTATAACAGCTATCAATATATTATATTAACAAATTTATTGTTATATCCAAAGTGAAACTATTCTATATTTTAAAACAAGATTCAATATTTTTGTTTACTAAATTTTAATATATCAGATGAATTCAAATTGAGCTGTTTTTTATTCTCTTCACAAAGAGGAGAGACTTAAGATTAAGGTGTAAATATATAATATATATAAAATGTTGAATTTATCACAGATAACATTAATAAAAACATTGATATGTTGCTGTTTTCTGTTTAGTTGTTTATAATTTGTTTAAAAAATAACTTTCCAGTTGATAATAGTTAAAATATCAAAAATTGATTTGAAATTAGTTGTAAATAATTATTTGATATTTTAGCTAATTCACATCAGTACAAGTACAAACTCATCACTGTCATAGCATGTGCATCTGCAGAAAATTTTCCAGAGAGCAAAGTTTGGAGACAAATAATTACATCATTAACTTTTTTTGATGGGGTGGTTTTTTTCACAAGTAGATTATAGAATACAGTGTTGCATCAAAGCCTCCCATGGCCAAGGATCTAAAATTACATATCTCAAATCACTGGAATCCATAGGAGGGCAAGTGCCTTGTTTGTCCCCCTCTGCAGATGCCCATGAGTCATAGTATCACTCGTACATATTTCAGTTTTATACAAATGATGGATGGCATTGTATAACCGACTAATAAACAATCCAACAATAGAAAAATATCAAAAAGTAATATACAACATAATATATAAATATAAAAAGTTGAAATATAATTTGTATCTATATAAACTTTTCATAATAAATCAAATTTTAAGTATATGATATAACAATCTTTAATATGATTTTTAAACATTTATAATTGATATAGTATTTAGATACACTTTGAATAGATAAATATATACAGAAAATTTCAATTCTACAATATACAACATTTTTTGTAAATTTTTACAACTAATGTCTATAAAAGTTCATTAGATACTTTAGATTAATTTTGCAGTTAAATATTTCTTCAGACTGATGATGTATTGTGCTTGATTGTTTCCCATTTCTTCAATTAGAAGACTTTCTGAATCAGAAACAGCTAACTATAAGAGAACATGAAAAGAAAAGTTAAAGTTTTATAAATATATAAATAATGAAATAAAAATACATACCTGTTCTAAAAATGTAATGTTGCATTTATTTTTATTTTTCTTAGGAAATTCAACAATCCATCCACTGGGACATACCTAAAAAGATTAAATCAATTTATTAGCTTGTTACATAATTTTCTATTTGCTAAAAAATACTTATTTACTTTTCCTCTAAGAGAATCACTTTGTAAAGGACATATTTTGCTTTCAATTGATTGATATGACAAAATAAATTTGGAATTTTTCTCTAAAACTGTTTGTAATAAACAAAATTCTTGAGATTCTTTCTTCATTAAGGTGACAACTTCATGAAGAGTATGTACTAGAAATAGGATAAAGATTTTATTTGTATCAATGAAGAAAATCATGTCTAAAAAGTAATTAAACATTATTTATTTTCGAATATAGTATTTTAATTTTTTACATAATCAAAATATAACATATATTAGAATGAAAAAATATATAAATACGTTTATATATTTTTTATAACACATAGCTTGTAAAATTAACTTATCAATATAACACAAAAAAAAAGTAAGAAATTCATCAACTTGATTTATATTATATATAAATATAACATAAATCAAGTTAATGAATTTCTGATAATTTAATTATACAAGCTATATATTTATATATAATATAAATTATATACAGGAGTAAAGGAGATCTTTCTAACTTTGCACATGGTGCATGCTTGTTCCAGTGATTCCCTTTTGGTTATTTTACAGTAGCAATTTGTATGTTATGCTAAATCATCTCTGACTATAGAAGATAATGACAACATTGCTGAAATTGATACAAAAAAGTAAGCTTTATTTTGTTAGGGAACATATTCAAAATGACTACCTTCAGTGGCATGACATTATGGATGGCACATAGTGACACCAGGAATGCTATTTCACAGGCCTCTGCTATTGGTATGCTTTTAGATGACTCTCTACAGAAAAAATGCTGGCGATGGAACATAGTAGTGTTGTCCTATCCAGTCGTTGCCAAACTGCTTGAAGAGACATATATGTACTGTACATCTTTCCAGGAATGAGAAGGTGTGCCATTATGCTGGTATCAAAACCTGTAGTTGTATCAGTAATATAATAGTCATATGTCCACTGTTATATTTAGAATGTTTGGATATCAGTCACTATTCAAGGCATCATCAATTTGGTTTCATGAATATGAAATCAAAAAGTTTGTCACTCCAAATTCCATTCTCACATTGAGAGTAAAACATGTGTCATGTATGTTTGTGCATTGTGGAATATACTCTGCCCAATGATGCACATTGTGATGATTATACTTTCCCTTCTAAGAAAACAGTGCTTCATCAGTCTGTAAAATGTGATGAACTTGTGGTTCAATATCATCCTATAAATTTAACATGTTACACTGATTTTGAGTGGTGTAGCAACAATTGCTATGTAGCATTCTTTGCATGTTGTGCTAGTTACAGATAGCATCAGATTGGATACATGTCATGGCAATGTGATATCCATTGTATTTGTGTCCACTGCAATTGACAACCTAACCCAGGAGTGCCAACAGTTTTTGCCCCTGGGCCGAATTGGAAAGTAAACTTTTTTCATGGGCTGAACCAGAGGCTGTCCTAGGAAGATTTTGAGGTGGTGCGAGGTCTCATTGTGGTGTCACCCCGTAAAGACTAAATTGTACATAGAGATTACAGAAACATTTTTCACATTATCATGCTTTATCAATGTTCTATGCTGTACTTAGAGTTAATCCTCCATTACAAATATCTAAACTGTACAGCAAGTTGTTGACATTTTTCTTTTTTTAGGAGTTAGAATTTTCACCTACCTATTCTGACTTGAGTAGCTAATATTGAAAGATTAATCGCAGGACACATAATAAATCCATTATACGAGCCACATGTTGGCCATGCCTGACCTAACCTAATCAATTTCCAAACAATACACTGGACTTTTACTGAGCTGAATTATGGCTACTTTAATTATAGAAACAAAGCAATGTGGTTTAACTGTCTACCTCTAAGCACAATTTCATAAACTTCTTCCAGAATAATAAATTTAAGTATTAAATGTGGTATGGTTATATCTAAATTAATCAGATGGGTCAGGATAAAATAACTGGTAACACAGCTAGCAGGAGTTGCAAGTGCAAGTTTGCTTCAGGTTGATCTTTTCTTCCAGAATATTCTAAATTTAAAATTATTATAAGATTGCTTTGTTTCTGATCATTAAAATAGCCATTTGTTTAAAGGTACAGTAGCTGGTTAAGCTGCCATAATTCAGCCTGATTAAAAATCTGGAAGTTGTAATTTATATAACCTAACCAATGTTGGAAAGATCTCTCAGTGGACATCCTGTGCATAGTATCAATCATCCAAAACAATAAAAAATGCAGTAATGACAATAACTGAATATTCTAATAGTTTGTTTTTAATAGTATGTGACAAAATATTTATCTCGTGGTGTTATTTAATAACACCGTGAGACAAATATTTTACATTTTATTAGTTATTAAAATTGATTCTCAAATATGTAGGCTTTTTCTTTTTTTCAAGCTCTGATGGTCCATAAAAAAAAGTGTAAATAACAAAATTAATTTATTACCAAAATTTAGGTACAAACATGATTACTTTTTGGCATAATCACTGTGAAGGTTGAGGAATTTGTCATATCTGTGGACGAGCTTTTCCATCTCATTGTCATAGAATGTTGCTGCCAATGACTTGAGATGGACCCTAACATTGTTTTGAAGATCGTCACTAGTCTCGAATCTCTGCCCTCCTAGCCACTTTTTCTGTTCAGGAAAGAGGTGGAAGTGATTCGGTGCTAAATCGGGGCTATATGCTGGATGTTTAAAGGTGGTGAAGACTTCCACTTCTTTCCTGAACTGAAAACGTGGCTAGCAGGGTAGAGGTTTGAGACTAATGACGATCTTCAAAAGAACGTTGTTGAGGCCATCTCAATTCACTGGCAGCAACATTCTATGACAAGGGGATGGAAAAACTTGTCCACAGATATGACAAATTCCTCAATCTTCATGGTGATTAGGTACAAACATGGTTACTTTTTGGCATAACGTTTGGTTAATAATAAATGGCGGATTGTTCCTTGCCATTTATTTGTCGTTTTTTTGGCTTGTAGAATCCTCGAAGTTGGAAATAGAAAGAGTATAATTTTACTTGTTTTTAACTAAAAATTTTTTATTTTTAGTGTGTTACACTTGTCTTTTTTTTAAATGGACCATCGGAACTTGAAAAGAAAACTACCCTCGTAATTTAATTATTTAAACAATTCATATTTAATATTATCATAATACAGGGTGTGTACTAAAAAGCAACCCAGGCTAATAGCTTAGAAAGAACTGTCAGATTCATGTAAACAATGTTTGCTCTCATACATTATTGAGCATGGGTTATTCATTGATGCATTAGTGAATTTTCCCATTCTCTAAGGAAGAGGAGCTAAAATTACCATGTTTCCAATTGTAAAGTTGTAGAGCAGATCAAAATTAGTACAGTCCAGATTTTGCTCAATTAAAAAAAAAGGATAGAGGACATGCTTTGTACTCCTGTACAGTTAAAGGGTTGTGTAAATTTGTTTTCCCTGTAATGCTGAGCCGCTTTGTACATGTTTGCTTCTCAAGCTTTAAATAATGCATGATAAAGTTGTCACTGAAGGATATGTTTTGGTTTCACAAAAGATCTCACAGGAAAAAGATTATAATTTGGAAGTTAGCATTTTATTGCAGAAATTACTTAAAGCTTGAGAAACAAATACTTACAAAGCAGCTCAGCACTACAGGGAAGTCTAACTTACTCCTGGACATTTAAAGAATTGTGTATATGGCACATTCTCTTTTTGCTCAATTAGAAAAGGATAATGTGAATTTTTCTAATTTTAATGTGCTGTACAACTTTACAATTGGAAGTGATATTCTATCTGAAATAGGCCCTGAGATAATTTTAGTCCCTGTTTTTTGGACGGTATGGGAAATTCACTAATGCTTGATGATAAATGAAAGTGAGCATTGTTTACATGGACTTGACAGTTCTTTCTGATCCAAGATCACTTTCTGGGAGACACCCTGTATAATTTTGAAAATTATAAATAAGAATTGTTTATAATTTTGTTAGGAATGACAATATCTGTGTTTAAAATATATGTTCTATTCTAGGTTGATTTCAAATTTTTATCACCATCAGGATTCAGACGATTTAATTAAGGAAGAAAAAAAATGTCTTGATTTGCTGCTATTTGAGATAAAAAGATCCCATTCTGGTTAAAATTTTAACTCTACAAGAAACTTGAAAAATTTTATTGTACTGTACATTAAATTAAAGAGTTGTAATATATGTTTTAACCAGCAAATAAGCCTGGCGTTGCCCAGGCAAAAAAACATGACTAATAAAAATGCAAGACTACATATAAATAAACATAGTAAAAAAGTGTATATATTTTATTTTTTGGAGTCTCCAGAACAAATTAATCAAAGTCCCATAAAAACCTATGGTAAATCGATAATTGATTAACGAACAAAGTCTTGGAACAGATTATGTTCGTTAACCGATCACCCACTGTATTGGAAAAAATGCCTGAACAGACATACATTCAAAAATACGCTAAATGCATGCCTGGATTTAAAGATCGTGCTACCCTTTTATTAAGTGGAAATGTCACTGGTTATAATATTGAAGCCGTTTATGGTATATCATTTCCAAAACTCTAAGAGTCTTCAAGGGAATCAGTAAGGACACATTACCACTATATTATCATGCCAATAAGAAGGCGTGGATGACACAATGCCTTTTTGAAGACTGGTTTAACAACTACTTTGTTGCAGAAGTAAAGAAATATTGTGATGAAAAAGACATTGCTTTTAAAATTGTATTGCTTCTTGACAATGCTCCAGGTCACCCTCTACACTTAGGAGAGTCCCATCCAAACAGGTGATAAAGAAACCACTTTTATAATACCACAAGCATACTACAGCTGATGGATCAAGGGTGTATTGCTAACTTCAAAGTGCATTATTTAAGAATCAATTTTACCCAAGCAATTGTGGGAACTGAGAAAGATCAGACATTGAGAGAATTTTGGAAAAATTATAAAAATTTTCATGCAATAAAGAATATATCAGAAAAATGGTCCAATGTAACAATGAATTGTATGAATGGCATATGGAACAAACTATTAAAAAGGTTTAATAACAATATGAACTTTAACTATGTCTTCTATTTCCTCTTCTCTATTAATGTTATTGTACAATTTGCTCAACAATTAAATCTGGAAGTTGATAATGAAGATGTAAATCAACTTTTGGAAAATAATGTAGAGGAACTCACAAACGAAGACCTGATTGAGATTGAGGAATGAGTTGCAGATAAAAATGTAATGGAGCTAAAAGAACTGGATGAACACGAAGAATCACCCAAAAAATTTGTGTCAAAAGAAATGGGGCAATTATAAAATTTGAAAATATGGACTCAGACAACAATAGATTTTTGAAGGTACAATGCACCAAGCACTTGCCTGTTATAATGAAATTTATAACGAAAAAAAACAACAAACTGTCCAAACAAAATTGGACTTGTTTATAAAAACAAAAAGCATTACTACTACACTTGCTGATAATCCAGAATAATGCTTATATATAGTTTACAATTAAAAATCAGAAATGAAAGCTATTAATTTTGATGTACATATGTCTATTATAATTATATTTATTTTTGTATGAAATTCGACTTACGACAGGGTTCAGTTCTGCAACTTCGTACATAAGTCAAGAAGTGACTTTATATAACAACTTTTTTGTGTGTAACCTTGTATAAACTACTGTAAGGTCTCGTTTTATGCGGATTTTTTTTATGCGATTTTGAAGTTGTGCGGTTTGTATTTCATCCAAAATTTTTTTGGACAAACATACATATAGGCTTGTTTAGGAAGCCCGCGTATAGACAGTCTCCAAAAATCGTGGGACGCTCAAAGCTCACTCCATTTGTTCCACTGACATATAACGTTTATGGATGTAAAGGACAGCTAGATCTACCTTAATCGCTTTAGTTCCTAGCAATTTTTGATATAAATGTAATTAAACATAAAAAATACTTAAAACTGAAAAAAACGAAAGAAATGCGTTAATTTTGAAGAAAAAGCTTCAAAGTTTAACTTCCTTTGTCTCGCCCTTCTGTGAAATTTAACACCGATGAGTCATTGTTTACACATCTGGATGACCTTGAACACAGCTGGAGTTGGATTTCCCGGGGCATTATCATAAACGTTGCGGGAGGACAAGGGTTTAGAGTAGGGTGAACACTAGCTGGCCGTATATTTTTTAATATTTTAAAAAAATTTGGAGACTTAAAAAACATTCCAAAAATTCAAAAAAAATGTAAAACTATATTACTTTTCAATAAAATTAACTGAATTAAGTTTGAATACAAGTTTATTTTACGCTTTTATATGAATTTCTTTCAGACATTCGAAGTAATTTATTAAGCAGCATATTTCTTTTAATTTCTGCAAACTTTTTTTATGCGGTTTTAAGTTAATTTTAACTCTTTGTTTTGGTTTTATGCAATTTTAGAAAATTACGGAACGTATCCCTACTTTTTCAAGGCAAGTAAAGTCTTTTTTTATGCGAATTTTTTTTTTATGCGCTTTTCTGTAGAACGTATCCACCGCATAAAACGAGACCTTACAGTACTCTTCTTGTTTCTGAAAATGGCAAATCACCTGAAAAATCTGCATACTTTTTTTTCTTCTGGTGCTCCCAATAAAAGCAGTTTATTTAATAATAGGTTATACACTTCAACCCAGTTTCATGTAAAAATTACATAACTTGTTTCAGATTATCTAAACTATATTTTAACATATATTATTATTGTTTCATAGTCAAAATCAAATCATCTGATATATTTAAAAACAAGAAATGATCTGTTCATTTTTAGATGAAAATTATCTATATTTTATTAATTATATTTCAAAATATTATAAATATTAAAACTATGTAACAATTATAATTAATTCAAATCATTCTTGAATGAAAATTGTCATTTTTTTTAATGTGAGAAATGATGTTCATCCCATGATAAAAATATTCATTTTTATCATGGGATCAACTATCTGAATTAAAAGATGAAATAAAATTTCATCTTTTAATTCAGATAGTTGTTGCTTTTAATAAAATCCTGAAATTTACCTGATATTAAACATTTCTGTCTACTTGAAAATCATCTTATGCTTAAAATTACATTTATATAAGGTACAACAAGTATCTAATACTCACTGATTTTTTGCATACTTGATAAATTTTGGACAACATTTATTTTCTGTAAAAAAGTGCTTTTATTAAATGATGAACAAAAGATAAAATTATTTAATTATTTTTATATATTTTAAAAATTGCAGTAATACAAAATAGAATAAATAATAATTTCTGCCCTATAATGTAAGTTTGATATGAAAAATCTTATACATAATTTTTCTACAAGAATTCCTTATCAATTATTAGATTATGTATATAGATATTATAAAACAAGATCTATACAGAAATATTTTATTGTTACTGATACACATAGGTGCAGGATACATCCAATTGCAAGAATGATGCTAGGGAGAAATTTACAGTAGAAAACATGATACTCTATTTTTTGCAGCTATTGCCATATCTCTGTTAAGCTCAAAGATGTTAATTGGGAAAATCTGCCAAAACTCAAGGAAATCACATGTTTTAAAAGTAAAACTGTGTGTTTGTTTATTTTATTTCTGATCAGTTCAGTCACTTGTTACATTGTTGCCTAATAACACATTTATGTGTCTAAAGTAAGGATGAGTCGATTGCTCTTACCGAACTATAGTTTCAATTTTTAAGAAAAACTAAAACCAAATTTTAAAAACAGATTTTCTTTTTGCAGTTCTTTTTATTTCAAAAAGCATTTTGACATTATCTAGAGTGAAATTTTGTGTCTGCTTGGATTAAAATGGAATATTCACTTGTTCCGCACACGGTAAATTTACAAATGAATAACATGTGTTTAAAAACTTTTTCAAAATTGTCTTGATTAGCTAAATAGAAGTTTTTTTTATAATTTTATATTTAAACATTATCATCATTTATGTTTCATATTTTTTGTGGATTTATTATAAAATATTTTGACATATTTTGATAATTTATGATGATTTAAACCACAAGTTAAAAATTTTTACATTTTAAGTTACATTTAAATTAACTAAATTTGCAATGCTCCAAAAAATTACTGACAAGTCAAACTAGATTGAGGAAGACAGAACAGTCTTGTCACTGATGATAATGTTGTTCAAGTTGATATTTCACAACAATGGTAAAATGAAATCCAGTTGCAGGATTTGCAGCTTTAAAAATCCACAAGAAAATATGGAACATGTTTAGCACTCTTAGTAAAGATAAAGTATACAACTTCTTTTTCTGCAAGAGAATCATCTGTGGTATTGTGTATCTGGATATATTGAAAAATTTTCTCATTCCACAGTTGGATGCATGCACTTTCAGCATCATTTTTTTGTATCAAGATGACACACCATCCCATTATCATACAGATGTCTGGGATTTGGGAAACGTTTATTGAGGAAGCTAATAAATCAACTGATCTATTGATTTCCTCAATAAACAGGACTGATAAATATGGGAAAAGGTGGTGGTCATGCTGATACCTAATTGAATTTTTCTTCTGGATTTACATTAAAAATCAATTGTTTATTCCATTCTTTTTTGCAAATCTTGCCAAGCTAAAACCTACAGTTTCACTCATAGTTACCAAAGTAACAACAGATATGCTGCTTCAAGTTTGGCAAGAAATCAAATCCAGATGAGATGTCTGTCATATCATCAATAGTGCTCTCATCAAACCAAAATAACCATTTTAATTAAAACTTCATGTTATATAAACATCAACTCACAAACCCAGTTTATAGTTGCATAGCCGTTTATAATATTTTAGCCAGATAATTCAGCAGTTGTTTGGCTTTAATTATAAATTGAATTTGTGAGATTATGTTTACACACACACAAACAATGCTGTGTGAGTGCTAAAGAGAAGGCCGTGGACACTTAAATCATCTCCAGTCAGTGTTGCAAGTGACCTGTATGGTTATATCTAAATTAATAGTTCTAGAAGTAAAGATTGTTTGGAAGACCAGGTAGCATAACCAGCAATGCATCCACACAGTAAGTGTAAGTGGGAGTTATGGATTCTGATTATGGATTCTGATTCTGAGTTATGGATTATGGATTCTGGATTTATAGATTCTGATTATGGATTATGGATTCTGATTATGAGTTATGGAAAGAAAAATTTTCTTCCAGAAAATTTCTTCCTTCTTTTCTTCCAGAAAATTCTAAATTATATTTATTATAATAATTAAATCTAGTATAAGAAAGAAGCATAGCTGCCTACCGCTAGACAAATTATTTAGTATTTAATTAATTACATAGCCATATTATAGTCCAATAATTTGGCAGTAGTTTGTCTTTATAATTTTGAGTGTATGTAGCACATTTTAATCAGAGCACTTACAGAATTGGTTATTAATTTATAGTGAAATCATTTTGAATCACACTGTATATAAACTGTTGTGTTTTAAACATATTATTTTTTAAAATGAGTAATATATACTCTATTACTAACAATAACATAATACAGAAAATACTTACTTTTACAGTTTCATCATAAATAAATCGACTTAATGGATTACATAATGTCTTCCAAACGGTTGCTGGCTTAACTTGGAGCGTTCCATAGCACAAATAACTTACATTAATAAAACAAATATATATTAAAAGTCAGTTTTTAATTAAATATTATATTTTATAATTATTTTTAAAATAATTTATCATTAAGCTTAATTATTATGTTTATTGCTAAATAAATAAAATACTGAATTATATGGAAATATATTTTAAAATATATCATTCATAAAACCAACACCAACAAATAACAAGAAAATTTACGATTTTTTTCTTATGTGAAATAGACATCCTCAGGTATATACTATGGAGAATATTTAAATCATAATCAATTAATTTCATGTTAATTCCTATTTATTCATTTATTGTTTAAATAATATACATATATTGAAATTTTATCCTGAACATAAAAATCTTAAGGTATTTGAATCACATAATCAGTCTGAACTTTTTAAAAAACATTCTATTTTTGTTAGCCATTTGTTTGATATCGTATATACCTGAGGATGTCTATTTCACATAGATGAAAACATTTGTAAATTTTCCTTTTTTTCTTGTTATTTGCTAGTGTTGGTTTTATGAGTGATACATCTCAACAACTGGTTTGTATAAATATATTAATATTTTAAAATATTACCTGATAATTTTTACGGGCGTATCCTGTACTTTTATCATCATCATCAGATCTTTATGACTTCCATGGCACCTATTAAAATTGAAAAACTTATTCAATTTTAGTGAATGCTACTAGATTCTAGTTTACTATAACTAATTAGTATGTATGATTGTCAGAATTAGGTATGAAAGAATGGAGATGGATTTACATGGACATAGAGTAACGGTAACACGCATTATTCAACAAGGATGTGAACAGGAATAATAAGTATTGCACAGGCGTGCTTACGATTTTGATAATTTATGATGATTTAAACCACAAGTTAAAAATTTTTACATTTTAAGTTACATTTAAATTAACTAAATTTGCAATGCTCCAAAAAATTACTGACAAGTCAAACTAGATTGAGGAAGACAGAACAGTCTTGTCACTGATGATAATGTTGTTCAAGTTGATATTTCACAACAATGGTAAAATGAAATCCAGTTGCAGGATTTGCAGCTTTAAAAATCCACAAGAAAATATGGAACATGTTTAGCACTCTTAGTAAAGATAAAGTATACAACTTCTTTTTCTGCAAGAGAATCATCTGTGGTATTGTGTATCTGGATATATTGAAAAATTTTCTCATTCCACAGTTGGATGCATGCACTTTCAGCATCATTTTTTTGTATCAAGATGACACACCATCCCATTATCATACAGATGTCTGGGATTTGGGAAACGTTTATTGAGGAAGCTAATAAATCAACTGATCTATTGATTTCCTCAATAAACAGGACTGATAAATATGGGAAAAGGTGGTGGTCATGCTGATACCTAATTGAATTTTTCTTCTGGATTTACATTAAAAATCAATTGTTTATTCCATTCTTTTTTGCAAATCTTGCCAAGCTAAAACCTACAGTTGCACTCATAGTTACCAAAGTAACAACAGATATGCTGCTTCAAGTTTGGCAAGAAATCAAATCCAGATGAGATGTCTGTCATATCATCAATAGTGCTCTCATCAAACCAAAATAACCATTTTAATTAAAACTTCATGTTATATAAACATCAACTCACAAACCCAGTTTATAGTTGCATAGCCGTTTATAATATTTTAGCCAGATAATTCAGCAGTTGTTTGGCTTTAATTATAAATTGAATTTGTGAGATTATGTTTACACACACACAAACAATGCTGTGTGAGTGCTAAAGAGAAGGCCGTGGACACTTAAATCATCTCCAGTCAGTGTNATGCAAGATGAGCTTAAAAGTTCATTTCTTACACTCCCATATTGACTATTTTCCCGAAAACTTGGGAGCCTACAGTGAAGAACAGGGTGAAAGATTTCACCAGGATGTCCGTGATATCGAGAGACATTACTAAGGAAAATGGGATGTCAATATGTTAGCTGACTACTGTTGGATGCTCAAACGAAAATTTTTATAATAATAATCGTGATTATTGTGTCGTTAAAAATTATTTCTTTATTTTGTACAAACAAAATAAATATATTGAAAAATATAAAAACGAAAAAAATTATACTTTAGAGGTTAATCTAGTATTAAAAACGTTTGATTCAGCACAACACAGTCTGGCTGGAACGCTTTCAGTTAACCAATGTTTTGGTTGATTGACATTTGGATAACTGACACTCTACTGTACTATTTAAATTCTAATGCTTATAAAGGTACGAAATGGATATGCTGTGTTGTCATCAATGATATAAACAGATGAAAGATATATAAACTCATTTTTTAGCCAAGTTCAGTCTTGTAAGGTTATTTTTGATATGCTTTGACAAAAACAGAACTTTAAAGTTATGGGTATAAAATAAAAGTCATATATTTGATAAATTACATTTAAGCTTAGATAAATAACTTTATTGGAATGAATCTGCAAAGTTTTGCCGTTTCTTCCATCTCGTTTAATAAGTGATGCCAATAATAATTTTTGACAGTGGAATATTTTACTTTTGTTTACCTTAATACCTCATGAAAAAAATTACAAAATTTTAGCTTTTGATATGTATGTTTGTAAAATGACATCATTGAATTTTGAATTTTTCAGTTTGTGAAAAAAAATTCTTAGTGTTCATATAGGCTACCAAACTTTTTACAAAAAATATAACAGATACAATACAAACAATTCCACTGTATGGGAATTATAGATCACTCATCACTTAGATTTAATTAAGGGAAATAACAAATGAAAGAGTATTAATCATGTTTTCTTAACTGAAGGCAATATGAAAACAGAAAAATTTTCATAAATAGATATCTCAGAGATCAGGAACCTAAATTATAATTAAGTGCATTTAAATTATTTTTAAACCAAACTATGCAACTTATTCAGTTAATATGGTATATGTTCTGATATTTTTTAAATATTAGTACTTATTCAATAGTATCTTTGCTTCTTTTTACTGATATAAATATTTTCTCACAATATTATTTTTCTGTAAAAATCCATATTGGTATCTTTGGATTGATCATTTATAACATGATGATGCATCTAATGGCAACTACATCACATAAATTTTGAGTACAAAAAATGTGACAGTACATTGTATAATTCAATTTGGCATAACTACAACATAAAAAGAAACATTTATGTAATTTTATTTGTTATTAATTAAAAATAAATATCTCTCTCCTAATCTAAATGCTATCTTACAATTTGTGAAAAGTTATTAATGTCAATTCATTATTCTATTCATAGGTGAGTCTTCTTTGTTATATTTTTTATGTCCCAAGGTGTAAAAAAGATTTTTCTCTCTCATGTTAAACAAAAGAGCTGGCAGAAAATTTAGATGGATGGGAAAACAATGTTTCTTGGCTTTTGGAAGAAAGAAGTTTCGACAAAGATATTTTGCATTTTGCTGCAATTACATATCACCCTCAATAGTAAGGTAGATGATTTTATTAATAGACTCAATTGCTTAACAGAGTAGATTACAAACACTTCATCCAATGCTCTTAAACTTTGAATTAAGGTTGGAGAAGGTGGAATAAAATTACCCTGACTGATAGGATTGAGTGAGAGCAATTATTTCTTCTGTTCTGATAATCAAAAACAGAATAAATAATAATGTTATAATTGGATTGGAGAATATGGTGACAATGGTTACATTGGAGTTAGTTAAAAAATTTTCTAAGGAGGTTATGGGTTTGCCACTGCTTCAGTATAATAATGTTTATCATATAGCTAGGATAATGAATAAAAAACTAGCATAAATTGACATGCAGTTATTCATCAGTTGGTGTCATTTTATTCCACCTTCTCCAACCTTAATAAAAACCTACCTATAAATTTTATTATTTAAGTATTTTAGATAGTTCTTCCCAAGTTAATTTTCAATATTTTATATTTTGATTGTCTAATGACACAAGTCTGCAAGTAAAAAACTGCATAGAATTTTTATACATTTTTACCAAGTTGAAATCTGTAAGAAAATGAAAAAAATACCAAAAAAATTCCATATCGTCAATTTTTTTTTGTTACACTCAAATTTTTGTTTGTATTTAGTGTAAAATTCCTAGTTAACTTAACATTTAGTATTTTTTTATTTAAAAAATGGCCTTAAAACGAAGACTTCTCACATTAATTCTAACAATTATAGCTGGACTTGGTAATAAATGAATAAAAAATGTTAATGGTTGAAGAGAGTAGTGGTAGGGGTAGGTGGGTTTAGTAGTTTTAGCATTAAGAGTGTTAAATATATCACTGTTGCAAGTTATGTGTTCACAGATAGTGAGTAGGATACCTTACAAGTTTAAATAATCATACATGACTACTTTGATCTGTTTCAAGTCATATCGAACCAAAAAGTGGCGGGCTTGATAAAAGACACCACATGATGGCCATTTATTTATTATAAAAAATAATACAATGGTTATATGACATGAAGTGTTGCTACACAATACAAATACAAAAGTTTATATAACACAAATCATTGTTACACACACAGGTAATGGCAGGAGAGAAATTTAACAAGGAGGAAAATTGCATGATAGTATAGAAACAGGTTAAAAGTTGATAGTGAGTAATATTATTGGTGAGGTTGAGCATGTTTCAACATGTTACCTGAAATACTAGGAATAAATATAAACAACCTGCTGTTGGATTAGGTCATGTTTCAACAAGCTAAATAAGTTCATTATCTCACTGGCCATCTAATGCCACACTCAGTTTATATCCAGCATTCGAACGCTACTGCGCTTGTAGTTTTTATTTCTGGGATATGGCTCACAGAGGTTGTGTAATTTCTCCCGACAGCTTCTGTTATGTTTGTGGTGAATACACAGTGAAAAGTCAACGAAGAAACATAAGTGAATTTGTGAAGAAAGTTTAATTTGCGTATTTCAAATTGAAACTTGGAGATCAAGACAAAGCACATTTTTGGAAACAATGGGAGAAAAGGAAAAAACACATGGGGACTCTTTCAAGAATGTAGTGCATAAGTTTTTGGGAAATACTAAGGACCCTGACTACAAAACCATTGTATAACACATACTGGCAACGTATGAAGCTCGAGGATGCAAGGTGAGCTTAAAAGTTCATTTCTTACACTCCCATATTGACTATTTTCCCGAAAACTTGGGAGCCTACAGTGAAGAACAGGGTGAAAGATTTCACCAGGATGTCCGTGATATCGAGAGACATTACTAAGGAAAATGGGATGTCAATATGTTAGCTGACTACTGTTGGATGCTCAATCAAGAAACCAGAGAAGGAAATCAGAAACAAGTTTGGAGAAGCATCAAAAAGAAGAAGGAAAGGTTTCATAAGAAAAAAGAGTAGACCTAAAATTGTGTATAAATATCAGAAACAATTTGTTGATTAGTTGTAAGAAAATATAATATATTTAGTTCATTGTAATAAATAAGAATTTTTATCAAAAATTTGTTTTTATTTTGCAAAAAACCTTTACGTGATGGGATGTAATGGAAGTTATTTTTAGAATCTGTGATCTTTAAAACATATAATTCAGCAAAAATATTCCATGCAGCTGGAAAAAATTTTTTTTTGCAGACTTGTGTAATATATTGTATTTTTGTGTTATCTCTATTACAGTTTTGTAATTAAAATATAATTCATTATTTATTGTAACCCTTTGATAACCATCTCCTCACATCAAAGGTTTTGTATTTGTGTTATCTCTATTACAGTTTTGTAATTAAAATATAATTCATTATTTATTGTAACCCTTTGATAACCATCTCCTCACATCAAAGGTTTTGTACTTAGGATTCTAAATAATTAATCTGAATACTATTTATGCACTATAATTATTATACGAAGTATAATACAGGGGTGTCAAACTGGCAGCCCCTGATGTGATTTTTCATGGGCCATGGTCAGGATGCTTTGAAATTAAATGAAACAGATTACAGATCAAGATTAACTGATAAACATCTATCATAATGAAGATTGTTCTCAGTCTTTATATCCAGATATTGGAAAACTAGGACGAGGATGATAGCACTGGCAAGTTTCCGATGAAAACAATTAATCTTAGTTTTTTAAATATGTACATTAAATAAAATAAATGTTTAAATAACATTATATAATTGCTACAGTATTTGAATTCACTGAACTACATAATGTGTTTTAGTGTAGTCGTACGCCATATGTTGTATTTATTAAGTTAAGTTAGTTTAGTTATTTCCTGCTATCCTTTGTTCTATTATTCTCTCCCCTTCTAGAACTTTCCTATTTTAATCCCTGTCCCTTGGGTGGGATGACCACTTCCGGGGAACGGAGGAACAAAAGAGGTTCGAATTACCCTGAGGACAAGGAGGACAAGACAAAGGCATTCGAGGACGGTACCGCAAGGAGTACAGACGTGGAGAGAAAACGCTCGAAGATCGCTTAAGACTAACGGAGATATTGGAAGGACAGGAAGAAAGAAGTTCTCATCCGGCAATAGCGCCATAAGAAGTAAGGAAAGGAAGGGTAAAACAGAAGGAGGCGACAACAATTCGAATCAGACGGATTCATCGTTTGTCATCCCACCCAACAACAAAGAATCGTTCGAACACACCGACAAAATATCCCGGGTATTTCATTCTCTATCATATATATATACTCTCCCTTCATTCTTCTACCTTTATTTCTCCCTTCCACTAGTGTTAAGTTAGAATATAAGATTAGTTTGTAGATCGGGCTCTCTTTATTATCACTGTCGGAAACGGAACTATATGTTTTAATTTTATAGTGTCTTAGTATTGATCTTGTATACCGTTTTGTGCATTGTGACGTTGGAAATCCACAATAAATAATTTTCGTGCAAAATTTGTTTCGTTGTATAACTTAATTTTGTCCACATTCTTACATTAGTTGCCCTATCTATATTCCTGCATTCTCACTTCAAATTTACAAATTTTCTTAAAATTATAATGATATGGCCTGCATAAATCTTACCAGTTGCATTAATGGCCTGTTATTTAAATCAGTTTGACACACCTGGTATAATACATATAAAAAGTTAAATTATACAGTAATATTCAAAGTAGCACAATGAGTTAATGTTTAAAAAGTTAACACAAAGGCATTATAAGAATGAAATAGAAGGGATGAATGATGATGCCACCTTACTTGGATTGTGACTTAGTTCAAATGTTTGTGATTAACATATACTATTTTTAGGTTACAAATTTATAGTTTGTAATACTTCAATGATAAATTAAGTATAGAAGTTTTTCATTATTTTGGATAGGTTTATTTAAAAGTTTGAATTTACTTATTGCAGTAAGAAGTTTCTACTAATCTTGAATAGCAGAAAGAATGTACTGAATAGTTTACTGTTTAATATATAATGATCCAAAACAAAATTTTACAAATAATACAGTAATGGTCATAAACAGTTAAATGCATTTAAAAATTATAATTTTTTCCTTTCAATAAAATTTTTTGAATTATATAGTTATAGATGTTTTAATGAAAACTAAATGGCACACATACAGAAAGCTGAAGACCATATATTAATTATTCAAGACTTACATCCATTGGCCTGAGATATTCTTTGACTCATCTTGAGGAATATATGATTTAGAAGTTTTAAATGCGTATTTCACCTGAAAAAGCACGTATTTAAAGAATATTAGAAAATAAAGGTAAAGTAAATTTTAAAAATATTTTTAAATGTAATAATTAACTATAAATTTAAGTCAAACTTTGTTTCATTAAATTTTGCTGTTTGAGCATATTTTAAGGTGTAATTTTGTTTCTGGCATTTCCTCCAGTTTCTAAATACTTAAATTTATTTAGTAATATAAATGCTAATCATACATTAATTAAAAAAAAAGATAAATCATACATTAATTAAAAAAAATATAAAAGATAAATCATACATTAATTAAAAAAAAAGATAATGATTGGTAAAAATAATAATTATTTTTACCAATCATTATCTTTTTTTTTTTCCCTTTTCAAAATGTTAACCTATATACAGTAAGACCTTGTTTAGTGCTTAGGATGCGTTCCTAGATGATAAAGTGCTAAATGATAGTGTTAAATGAGGCCATTTTAACACAGAAAATAAGAAAAGGGAAACACGTGGCCAAAAATAAACAAATTTTACTTTAATTTTAAGTTATTTTTTTATTAATTTGCATAATAATATATGTTACATAACACATAAACATAAGCACACAGAAATATAAAGTTCATTTTTGTGATGAAAGTCTCTTCTGAAATTCTTGATTTTTTTTTTTTGTGATGAACTCATCTAGTGTCATTCGTTAGTTTCTTTTTCTTTCGTTAAGCAAATGTCGGTAGGAGGAGATCACATCCAAAATGCTTTGTCTTGCTTTTGCACTCCTTTCAAAATCTATTCATTTGCAACAGTTTGATCAATGATTTCAGTTATTGTTACCAAAGCTTTACTAAGGAAATATGTAACAAGTTCTTTGGGTTCTTTGTTTTCAGAATCACTATTTTTCTGTTCTGCCAGTTTGTGAAGGTCGTCGTTGGTAGAGCTCTCACCAGAAACCTGCAGTGACTCCTCAATATCATGCTCTTATACATCTCCTATTCCTGCTGCATCAATTAGGTTGACAATTTAGTCAATGATAGACTCTTCTCGTTAAGAATCCTTGGATATCTCTGGCCATACCTTTCACACTCCATTCATGCATTTTTCAGTTAATACTTGCCAGGCGAAATTGATATTGCCTATGGCATCCATGATGATATATTTTTTCCAAAATTGAACAAAAAAAAAATTAGGTAGAGTAAGTACTGTGGCCGTCAGCCATAGTTTTATATATATTTTTGTTAATTTTAGTTAGGCTTAGTATCTCCTCTGTCCTTTTGTCTTAACTGTTCTAGAACTTTCTCCCTTAATCCCTATTCCCTCGGGTGACATCATCGATTCTGTGAAACAATGTCAAGAAGACAAAAGGAGCAATAACCCCCTGGAGAGGAGGCGAGGTGAAAGAAAGGAGAAGTGGCTGCGATTTCGTCGAGAGAGGACGAAAACGAGTGTGGTCCTGACCGAGGGGTCGAGCAAGAAGTAAGAAACCTTGCAATAGAAAACCGAAGGAGGATCATACCCTGATCGCATAGTGAGAGATCAGAGGTATCGGAACCTTGTAAGACGGCTGAATTATAGAGGAACGTAGGGCAATTGCTAAAGAAATCGAGTTCCCCCATGTTCAAGTAACGGCAAGCGGGAAGACCACAAGACAACTTCAGAAAACGTAGACGTTCATAAGAGGAAAGAAAATAAGGTCTGCAGTCATTAAGAATTTCAAGACGGTGAATCATCCGAGACCATGTGGCAGAAAACTCCCGGGTATTTTCTCCTTTATTCTACTACTATCCTTATCTATATTTTATTTCTCCTTCCTTAGTTTGTAAGTAGGTTAAGTTTAGCTATAAGTCGTGTGTCGGTTGCCACAATAGAGGCTTGTTTGTGTAGACGATTATTGTATGTATACGAACCCAATAGTCTGTAGGTTGGAATCATTTTAAAGAACATGTGTTTGATGAATAAAAAAAAATTTTTGTATTTTTACTCGTTTTGTGTGTTTCCTGTCTGCAATAATATATTGCCCTCAAACGAAACTTCACAGTACAATGCTATGATGAATTGCATCTTTTGCTGATTGGTTTGTATTCAAGAATAATCTTATTATATCCGAATCAATGAAATGCAGCAATAATTTGAATAAGCATAAATTTTGAGCTTTTTTTAGGCTTTGAACAGACCACATTATATCGAATCAGTGTTAATCAAGGTCTTACTGTATATTTGTGAGGTTCCAAAAACGGGTTGAAATTAAACAATTATTATTAAAAATTTATTAAAAGGAAAGTAGAACAACTAATTCGATCTTTGATCAGTTTTTAACAATATACGATTTTTTTTTCTAGTCATATGAAACCGCAACAAGAGAAAAAGCTCTATTGATGTAAACAGAACACAATAATTATAAATGATTAATAATTGTAAACAAATGACCTCCAGTAGAGATGGACCTTTGACAAGTTGCTCATATGCAAATAATTAGAACATAGAAATTTTGAAAAGAGGAAAGGTTAATGATGAAAAGGGACATCGAGTCGTTAAATTTCAAAAACGTCACAGACTAGACAACAATGGTGTAAAATATGAGCCCAAGTTTCAAAGTTCCATCAACATTTTGCATCCAGAGTAATGGATGGTGTCAAGTAGATTCTTTGAAGCGGATCTTTCTGGTGACTCGAACAGGAATCGTCTTTCGCTTGGAGACAGACGAGAGACCAATCGGGGAGTGAGAAAAAGGGGATGTGGAGCCAATCAGAAGAAAATGAAACAAAGAATGGAGATTGATATAATCCGCGATCTTCAAGGACTTTCACTTTCCGAAATTTGTGCACCTGCACACGGTTGTGCCCAACTTGTAACCTGTGACTACGGACACTGACTGACGAATCTCCTCACTTGCCGTTGCCCCAGGACCTTCCTTCGAGCAACAATAGAAACACCTTTGACAATTCGAACCTCCAATTGTATAAAGAACATTTTTGTTCCTTAGTGTAAGTTTACTTTATGTTTAAAATAAACGGGTTTATGTGAGATTCGCATGTGGATGTGATGGAGGAGATACAGATGACAAGAATGACACTAGATCATCCTGATGCGGGATTAATGATTCCCCCTGGAAATCGGATAACTTACATTAGGATTTTAAGTCTCCAATCTCCACCAAGTCAGCGAACTTATATATTGATTGTTCACTTTATAGCATTTTTATAAATTAAATAAATGATGCTTTTTTTTAGTTTTTTAATTGTATAATAAATAGCATCAATTGTATATTATCATAATAGCTTCTTGATAACAAGCACTGAGTTCAGTGTTAACATGATTTTCTTATATCATCGTCCTCAGGCAAAAAAGAACAAATTTGAAAAATAGAACGTGCAGGGTGTTCCAAGTAGAAAACGCAAAATTTTCTTGTCTATTTCTAAGATATTTTGAACGCCTGCAAAAGCTTGCTGCACGTGACCAATGGAATTACTGAACGTTATAATTTAGAAATTGACAAGAAAATTTTCTGTTTTCTACTTGGAACACCCTGCACGTTCTATTTTTCAAATTTGTTCTTTTTCGTCTGAGGACGACGATATAATACTCATCGAAAGTACTTGCGATATAAGAAAATCGTGTTAACGCTGAACTCAGTGCTTGTTATCAAGAAGCTATACAATTTTGGTGTAAGTTTTATTTATTTATCTATTTTATCATAATTTTATAAAGCTATATTAAACAATCATTGAACTGATTTCTGAAAATTAAAAAAAAAAAACAATTTGTAGATCTGCTTCTGTCACTTACTCTAGTGTATTGGAAATAAGACCTCTTAATTTTGTAGGAAGAGAATTAGTTTATTCCTAATGTGTTAATACAACATGGTCTAAAAATACTGAAATTACATTTAGTAAAACAAATTAATATCGATAAAAAAAGAAGAAACAACCGAAGTGCGATAATTTGTGTAAAGCAATTGTTATAGAAAGACTTAAACATACAACTATGAAATTAAATTAGATGACACTAAGTTAAATATATGTTGTCTTTTTTATTTCAACATTTACATCCTACAAAATATTGTAACATAAAATAATAAAGCATATTACCTCCCTTTGTAATTTCCTTACAAACAAGATAAACATTCTAATCTATACAATTTTTTGGCTAATATTTTTAATATAAAAAAATATATGGATATGTTACATTTTGGGATTATTTCACTATTAATGTACTAAAGAGATATATTAATATCTTCTCGAGACCATATTTTGTTCTTATTTGGTCTAAAATGGTGGTTCTCTATCTTTAAGAAATGGTGTTCTATGGCCTTAAATACTTTGTTATGTGGAGCCTGTATATATATATAAATTGAAAGGCAATTTCACATTTATTGGTCTTGCAAAACAATAAAGCAAAAAATTTATAAACTATTTTATTCAATAATATGTAAAGTAATATGTTGTAATACATTGGAATAAATGTGCAATAAAAACATTTTAAAATATCTCTTTCATGAACTGCATGGAGCAAATTTGCAGAACACAGGTCGAGAACCACTGGTCTAAAGCATTATGATTAGTAAATATGATATGATGAAAACACTGTAGAACACCAAATTCAATTTGTATTTCTCCCCAAACCTAAGAGAATGTTTTATTTAGCTTTAATTGAGAAAATCAACCTTTTACCAAAAATAACCTGGTAGTTAAAGGTTGTATTATAGTTTAACGTTAAATTAACTACCAGGTTATTTTGGTATTTATAATAGGATTATGAAATATCCATCAGAGGTGACCTATGATACCAAGGACAAAATAAGTCATCTCTGATTATTATCCTCTATTATCTTTGGAACAACTTTTAACTGAGAAATTTTTATCTTCAAAATAGTTTTGTTTTTTGGCTGTTTTCCTACATATTGTAATTTGCATTTTTGAGGATTTATTTTAAGATGCTGTATTCTTCACTCTTCTCAAACTGTACTTACTTAAAAATAACCACCCTTTACTAACCTTTAACATGCAGTCTATTTTATTAATGTTTTCAATCAATTAA